CCCCCCCTCAGAAATTCTCGTCCTCTGAGAAATTCTCATCCATAGGGGTGTGTGTATATTAAATGGATGGCCCAAATTCATACAGTAAAATGAGTAAATCAGTAAATAGCAATCAATCTGACAATCTGAAGTACCGGTACTGTATTAACTCGGAACCGTAGGACACTTTAAGGCCATATTAATTAACTTGAACCATACAAATTTGACCTTCAGCTGTTCTTGTATAAACACGGCAATTGGCAGTTGGCATAATATGCGAATAAATTCCTTCTAATATATTGTGATTTTTGAAGCGACTCGTGCGTTCTTATATTGTGTCCGAGAAAGTTAAACATTTCGCTTACAAGTAGTAACCAATGGGTAACAAGAAGAGAAACTTCTCGCTTCCATACAGCCAATGGGCAACAAGAAGCGAAATGTTTCGCTTCCATTCCCACAACATGCACATATATATATACTGTTGTTGTGTTACTGAAAAGAAGCGAAACTTCTCGCTTCCATACAGGCAATGGGCAACAAGAAGCAAAATGTTTCGCTTCCTTCCCACAACACATATATATATATATGTACAATATACGGGCATGTGCTAAAACCTGGACGATGGACTGGACGATGGACGATGGACGCTGGACGATGGATGTCCATCGTCCAGGTTTTAGCATTTGTGCTAAAACCTGGACGATGGACGATTTTTATTTAGCTACAGCCGTTTCAACAAATTCAGTCTCCAAATCCAGTCTCCGGCTATCACTTTGTCACTATAGACGGCATGTGCTCAAACCTGGACTGGACTATGGACTGGACTGGACTGGACTATAGACTGGACTGGACTATAGACTGGACTGGACTGGACTATGGACTGGACTATGGACTATGGACTGGACTATGGACTGGACTATGGACTGGACTATGGACTGGACGATGGACTGGACGATGGACTGGACGCATTTGTGCTAAAACCTGGGATTTTTATTTAGCTACAGCCGTTTCAACGAATTCAGTCTCCGGCTATGACTTTGTCACTAAAGACACTATACTATATACTATATACTATATACTATATGACCTTACTTACTGAAATTTTATTGACAGTTCATTAAATAGAAATTATACAAATTTACAACATTTTAATCAATGTTACAATTCTCGACTTTTTCAATAATTAGCGTGCGTAAATAACCAAATTTTTCCGAAATACTACATATATGGCTATGACTTTGTCATTAAAGACACTATACTATATACTATATACTATATGACCTTACTTACTGAAATTTTATTGACAGTTCATTAAATAGAAATTATACAAATTTACAACATTTTAATCAATGTTACAATTCTCAACTTTTTCAATAATTAGCATGCGTAAATAACCGGACCGAAATTTTGTATTTGTAGAGAATGTTCTTCTCAAGCTACGACATCTAGATCTATCTCTCACAATCCACAAAGCGTACCAAGAAGTACTGAAAAAGGTTAGTAAAATAGTTTTAAAACTTGATATTTAAGAGCTCAAAATCTCAAATAATATTTTGCAATTCTAGATTCCCCTTATTACGTTTTCATAGTGCTTTCCATTGTGGTTAGGGAAGCCTTACATATAGATTTTTCCACGAGAAATGTCATATGTTCGTTTGGGGGGGGGGGTTGCAGCTGTGACGTTTCTCAGTAAACATCATGGAAAAATTCGATAGTTTTTTCGAAAGCCTTAACATTTCGGAATCATCTTTGCAGAATAAAAAAATTACATACGTAATACCATACCTGTTCTATATACGTATACATTTATATTATTACACCTGGCTTGCTTTGAAAACTCTCAAATTTCAATTCCGGTTATTTACGCACGATAACTATTGAAAACGTCGAGAATTGTAACATTGATTAAAATGTTGTAAATTTGTATAATTTCTTTTTAATGAACTGTCAATAAAATTTCAGTAAGGTCATATAGTATATAGTATAGTGTCTTTAGTGACAAAGTCATAGCCGGAGACTGAATTCGTTGAAACGGCTGTAGCTAAATAAAAATCGTCCATCGTCCATGTTTTAGCACAAATGCTAAAACCTGGACGATGGACGTCCATCGTCCATCGTCCAGTCCATCGTCCAGGTTTTAGAACATGCCCAATATACGTTGTGTTAGTAAAAGAAGCTAAACTTCTCGCTTCCATACAGCCAATGGGCAACAAGAAGCGAAATGTTTCGCTTCCTTCCCACAACACATATATATATGTATGTACAATATACGTTGTGTTAGTAAAAGAAGCGAAACTTCTCGCTTCCATACAGCCAAGGGCAACAAGAAGCGAAATGTTCCTCTTCCATCCCATAACACATATATATATATATATATATATATATATATATATATATATATATATATATATATATATATATATATATATATATATATATATATATATATAATTAATGTACAATATACGTTGTGTTAGTAAAAGAAGCGAAACTTCTCGCTTCCATACAGCCAATGGGCAACAAGAAGCGAAATGTTTTGCTTCCATTCCCACAACACATATATACAGCTATTTCAATTAAGGTTGTCCCCCGAGCAAAGCGGAAAAGTCGAATACCAGCGCGAAAGGCTGCTGGGAATCGCTAATAAATGAATGAATTTATTAGCGATTTCCAGCTAGCCTCCTCAGCAG